TTTGAAATTATGTATATAATAACTATTTCTACTTGTACAAATATTTTGGCCCATTAAAAAAATACAAGCATCAAACCACATTCTCAAGGGCCCAAAATACATTTTCACCTAACACAAAACCCATAATGCAAGTAGATCAAGAATATATTATCCTAGTTGGCAATATCATAACTAAATAAACATATCAAAATATGAAGAGAAAGGCTTATAAAAGTGATTATTATAACTTGGCCTAATGCTTCTTTCCTTTATTATTGCCAAATGAGCTAGCTCTTGTAATATGTTAAAAGAAAGGGATGAGTACAACCACTTAATAACTAAGGTACATCTAAGTTATACAAATACATGATAATTAATTATGAAGGTGATTATGTAAACAATCAGATCAAGATCATACTAACCACATTAATATTTAACTCATGTGAATAATTGCAAGAATAAAGTCAAATACAAAATTGGCATAATTGCCCACAAATACTGAATATTTGTACAAAATTTACACAAATAGCCACATATACATTATTCATATATTTACCGCATGTTCTCATTTTCACAATTATAATCATATTCTCAAACATAGCTATCAATCACTCAAATGGCATGATAATAATAATATGAATGATCAATTTCTTTCTTATATCTCCTATTATTTCCTCTAACATGAAATCTGTAGGCCAACAATGGGAAGGGATCATCTATGTGGTAAGAATACTCAAGGCCTTAATTATATCATGAGGGGCTACCGGGCTAGGGTTACCTTAGTCGCTTATGAACACGATTTTTTCTAAATCACACGTTATGGATGTCATACCCAAGACTAGCTTTACCTAAAACTCGAGGTAGGCTAATAGGGTTAAGTCCCTTAATAGGAACAATGCTACAATACCCTACAAGGTAAGTAGCAGTTTTAACTCCTAGGATTATCGGTTAATAGCCAAGTATCATATGAATTTTACACAACTACTAGCTCCTTCATTAAAGCGAACTCCCGCCCTATAATCATGCTTATGAGAGAATACATTTCAATAACTTTCATATATGTAATTCACAATTATCCCATATGCTCATCAACTTTCTTTCTCAACAAGCATCAAGAATCATCATATCTCAATCATGTCTCATGCATCAATTTTCATGTTACCACATAAATCACATTAGCATCATATGAAAAACTCAACATATTTATATACAATTCATCACTATGCATAATCCACAATTTATAATCAAAAGTATGCACATCAACATTAATCCTCAATCTCATTATTCAAATCATGTCACAATTAACTTGTTCACAGATATAGAAGATCTTAACAAAGTCACAACATGCATTACAAATAACAATTCAAGATTTGTACACACACACACATTCATTTGTTTCTCAAATATAAATAATTAATTAACATACAAATGTATAAAATAAATTTCTCTCGGTTACCTCAACTTTTGAGAGGTTAAAAGTTAGCCCTTAAGTTACAACACTTTCAAAGCTTTTCAAAACTTGATTGGTGCCAAATAATAATTAATCTATAATTAATTATATCATAATGTGTCAATAATATTATTAACACAATTTTCACTCATATTCTAATACTTAGGTCTTTATTTTATTTTTATTTTTAGTTTTAAAATTCAATTTCATATATTTGAACCCATCTACCTAGTTCAATAGGCTCCTTTACAGTAATTTTATTGAATTTTGGCTAAAATTATCATTTAAATAATTTTTAATGTTAACATTTTCCTTTTTATTTCAAAAATTTACATTTAAAAATATTCAAAAATTGAAAACTTATTCTCAAGTTTAGAATCATTATTCCATAGCCGTAATAATTTATTTCTTATATCAAATAATCATCTAAATATTAATAAATCAATTTATACTTTCAGATTTAACCAAAAGTCTATTTATAGAGATTTAGAAATAAACTCAAAAGCCTCAAATTTTAATTCTATTAACAAAACAATACTTTAAGATATGTATTATACTACTAACAACCTCAATAACAATATTTATTTATCAAATTTTTTTTCAAACTTTAGGTTTTTCAAAATCTCAAAATCTGCAATTTAAAAAAAATATGATAAAAAAATATTTAGAATATTTATCTAATTTTAAAATGCTTAAAATTTCATTTAAAATATTTTATTATAAAATTTGATCTTTTAAATCAGTTCGCACCACCGGGGACTCGCACATGCTCTGTTCTTTCTTTCTTTCTTTCTTTCGTTTTTTTTTTTGGCGTCTCTGTCGCGCGCGCGAAGGCAATTGGAAAAGCGAAGAGAAATGAAAAGAAAGAGAAGGGGGTGCGTAAAATAAGGTAATGTGGGTCCCACATTATTATTATTATTATTTATTATTATTATTATTATTATATATACCAAACACACGCACGCTCGGAAATTTCCATACCCCACCCTTCATTCATTTTTTTAATTTATTATATTCCTTTTCTTTTTTAATAATGATATTATTATTATTTCTATTATCTAAAAAAATCATAACTTAAGATTTGAATTTATTCTTAATTAAATCCAACAATAATCTCTTAATTAAAATTATTTATTTTTAAATACTCTTTTAAAATTATTCATTTATTTTTTATTAACTTAATTAATTTTGAGTTAATTTTTTTGAGATGTTACAAACAATATTAACACCCTGTGGATTTCAAATGGAGAATTGAAGAGTTTTAAAGGATCAAGAAGGCAAATTTGTGCATGAAGAATTGTTCTTTTTGAGTAGATAATAGTTTTCACTTAAAGTGCCTGATAAAAAACAAAAACCCTAAGATAACTGCCTAACTTGCACTCTCTATCTTAAACCCCCTCACAATCCCAAAAGAATTGTAAAATAGTTTGAGTAAAAAGAACAATACACTCGGAGGACCAGTTTTTATGTTTGGGGTCATCCACTCATAAAGGTTGTTTGCAATTCAGAAACATGAAAAACACAATTTATTAAGGCACCATAAGCCTCTTCCACTTTCACTTTGATGTGAACACACACATGCAATTATGGACATAGATTGAAGTGCCAACTTCGCTATAACATATTCATATCCAGATCACAACATATCTCTCATTAATTTAGATATCATCATCTATTAGACTAATAGGATGGAGATGCACGCAAAACAGAAGTAGTTAAAATATCAATACAATTATCCATCAAACTAACCAAAATAAAAGATTATCAACATGGAACATTAACCTAACCAAAATAAACTAAAATATCATTCATCATAATAAGCTTAACCTCCATCATTGATCAGAATAAGCTTAAATTTTAGACTAACCAAAATTACACAGAAGGTGTAAAAATTTGAGATTAATCAAAGCATAAAATGCTAGAGTTGGAAAAACGGGCCAACCCTTGATGGGCTCAGGCCTAAAAGGGTTGGGCTTAAAAAACCAGTTTTCCTTTTAAGGTACCAAATTACAGGGCCCCGCCCTTGAGATGGCGGGCTCAGGGTCGACCTTGTGGGCTTTAAGAGCTATTATTTTTTATTTTTTATTAAATTTTTTATCAAATTAAATATTAATACTCCATTTCATTACACAACTCAAAAATCTTATACCAATATATAAATTAAGAGTACAACCATATCAATAAATAAAATGACAGCAATCAAAATAAAACAACTAAATAAAGCATAAACACAAACAAAGTGATAGCATCATAATGACTAAATGAGATAAATCATAGACACAAGTTTGACTGAGAGCAAAATTGAGAATAGGGAAAGAACAAGCAAAAGAAAATCAGACCATAGTTCTATTGGAGCAAGAGGAGGAATTGAGAGATGCTATCGTTTAAGTCTTTGAGTTTGGCGAAGCACTTTCACAAACGAAAGAGCATAATGAAGTATGGTCGCAGATAAAGAAGCACTATTAAAATTTGAAAGATGCTATCACTGAAGAGGAATGATGAGAGATGAGCACAACTCACATGAACAAGAGATAAATCATAGAGGGACAAAATCGGTGAAAGGTAGTTTGGAGAGTTAAGTTAGGGGATTTAGAGTTAGTTTTTTTTTAATGTTTTTTCTCTCTTGTATGTACAAATAAATCATGCTTAAACTTTTTTCAAATCCAAGTGTCTATCAAATGTTAATCATTTAAATAAAAAAAATTTAATATAAAAAAAGTTATGCAAGCTTAAACAGGTTGGCCCTCGACCCTTTAAGGTTAGCCCGTTTAAGCCTAAATTACATTTGAAGAGTCCTAATTACAAGTCTGGTACTCCAATTAAATCGGCTTAAACGGGCCTACCCAATAAGCTAGACCTGTATTCCCAGCTCTAAAAAGGCAAAGTGTCATACACAAATTGCTGATGATCTTTCTCCTCCTCAATCAGATATACATAGTCTTCCTTTAGAAATGGAAACTTATTCAAGTTGAATGGATGGACACTCTTCTTCTTCTTCTTTTACTTGATTTCTTGAACCTTAAAATCATGTTGCCATTGTTGTTACCGCTGCTCACTTCTTCACCATCCTCGATTGCCTTTTCATTCAAATCAAACAAGTGGACTTTCTTCTCATGCACAAACTCATCAAAGTCTAAAGGTGCAAGTGAAGAATCATTCAAACAAGGTGCTCTTAAAATCTTTTAATTCAAAAAGGTTACTTTTTTGGAGAAGTCGAACGAGCATAAATCTGCTTCCTCGTTAAGAGAATCGTTGACTATACACCTCAATAGTTGATACAATGATACACCCTCAAAACCATTTTCTATCAGACTTAAATGGCGAGAATCCAGTGATATTTTAGACCACAACTAGATTAGCGACACTTGCATGAACAACAATGATAGAGGGAGTATGATGAAAGAACAAGCCTATTTAAAATAGAGAGAGACACCAAGCCAAACTGTATCGAAGAGAGAGTTAAAAATGTAAAAGGAGCATGGGTATTTTGAAAATTTTATTTTAAAATACGAAATCCTCATCAATCAGCGATTAATGTTGTAGACCAAACTTGTTTTTTAAAAGGCGATCGGACTGGAGGAAGTGAACTTTTATAAGTATGTTAAATTTAATTAAAAATATCTTATATGTAATGGGAGGGAGTAAGTTGAATTGCCAGGAGGAGATTGGACAAACGCCTCAACATAAATTAGCACGGGATGAGATCACCCCCTTGATTGTTCCCTTCTGACAATTTTCCCTTCAGTAAGGTGAGGGGGAGGGAAAGAGAGGGTGTGTGGCAGGCGGAAGGATTCCACTTTTGGTGGTGTCGTTTCATTTGGTGCGACTCAATCAATGAAAGCGGTGGTGATTACTGCTCCTGGTGACCCAGAAGTGCTTCAGGTGCGGGATGTCCCAGACCCATTAATTAAGGACAATGAGGTCCTTATAAGGGTCGCTGCCTCTGCTTTGAATCGCGCCGATATTTTCCACCGGAAAGGCTTATATGAGCCTCCAAGCGGTGACACGCCCTATCTGGGTATGGAATGCTCCGGCACCATTGAAGCCCTCGGCAAAAACGTTACCCGCTGGAAAATTGGTGACCAGGTGGATTTTGATTTTTCACTTTGGACTTGATTTGGTTTATTTGCTTTGTTGTTTTCTTGAACGATGAAAGTTCTGTTAGTGCTGTCTTGAGTGTTGTTAATTACTTCTTGGTTCTGACTTCAGATCAAGCAAGCTACTGCAACTCGACATTAACTTACGGAGCATGATACTTCTAAAATAGAGTAGGATCTTCTAACATAAACAGGGACTTGTTAAGTGGGTTCAAAGATAAAATGTCATTTTTGGGTTGTTCATGGTAATGAGGAGTTGCACTCAATTAATTCCCGATTGATACATAAGCAATTCCCTTGTTTTCATATTTGCTAAGCTAAACCAGATTTACTAACGTAAATAATGTACTTGAAAGACCACAATGTGTCTGAGCTTCTTGATGTGGACGACTGAAATTTAGCTTTGCATGCAGGATTCTGGTGTAAATATATGTGCTAAGGACCTACGATTCTGCTTTGTTTTCTGCAGGTATGTGCTTTACTCCATTGGGGAGGTTATGCGGAGAAGGTAGCTGTTCCAGCAGAGCAAGTTCTTCCTGTCCCACCTGGTGTCTCTCTGGAGGATTCTGCTAGTCTACCTGAGGTGGCATGCACTGTTTGGTCAACTGTTTTTATGACAAGCCGACTATCACCAGGCGAGACATTCTTGGTAACTATGCCCCAGCTCAAAATAGTTTTTGAATGAATGATTGTATCATACTGCATTGGAAAACTGGGAATAAATGTGCAATGTTATAAATACTATGAGTGTTTCTGATTTCCAGCATGTAAGGTTAAATTCTTATGATCAAATATCAGCATGTGTTGCTTATACATAGTTAAACCTCCATAGTGCTGTCATTTGCGCCAAGTCTACCTTTAAATAATTTAAGGAATAGTAATCATCTGATAGCATGCTTGGATTTTGTTCAAAACATGGCTTTGTGGATTATATTGAAATTTGGTCTTGCTCAATAAACCAATTTCTAGTTGTTAGCTGAGCTTGATCCATTGACTGAAATGGTTAGGTTCATGGAGGTTCCAGTGGAATTGGTACATTTGCTATCCAAATGGCTAAATTCCAAGGAGTAAAAGTTTTTACTACAGCAGGTTAGAGTCAGACACCGCTTCTGTTTTGTGTTATATCTCATGGCACACGTCATGATTCCACTTTTTCTTGCATCTTAATATTGAATTCCAGGAAGTGAGGAAAAACTAGCTGCTTGTAAAAATCTTGGAGCAGATATTGCTATCAATTACAAGACACAAGACTTTGTTGCTCGAGTAAAGGAAGAAACTGGAGGGAAAGGCATATCAATTTTTTGCATTTTTCTGTATTAAACAATTGAAGCATTTGCATTTGCCACACCTTGTATCTTTTTCTTTGCATGTCTTGGTACGGAGAAGACTGAATACCGAATTAACAATTGCAGGTGTTGATGTCATTCTGGATCACATGGGAGCATCCTACCTGCAGCGAAACCTTGACAGTTTAAACGTTGATGGAAGGCTTTTCCTCATCAGCATAATGGGTGGTGCTGTAGGAGAGGTAAATCTGAATAGTTTGCTCACAAGGCGCCTCACAATACAAGGTATGTTCCCATATATTGTTTAATCGAACTGCTATAAGACCAGAAATATTATATGGTAGTGAATGTTGGGCTTTAACGGGATAGCAAGAGCATAAAGTTGGAGTAGTAGAGATGAGAATGTTGAGATAAATGTATAGATATACACGTAAAGACAAAATTTGAAATGAGTAAATATGGGAAAAGGTAGGCGTCACGTCTATTGAAGGAAAAATGGTAGAAAATCATTCGAGGTGGTTTGGACATGTTCAAAAAAGATCACGGGAGGTACCTGTGAGAAGAGTGGAACAGATGACTTTAAGCCCTGTCAAGAAGGTTAGAAAAAGGCCAAAGAAAACACTTTTGAAAGTTGTTAAGCGAGACCTTTTAATTAACAATATTTCTAAAAGCATAATAAATGATAGAGCACAATGACGTTATATAATTTATATAGTCAACCCCGCCTAGTAGGATAAGGCTTGTTGTTGCTGTATAATGCTGCGATAGGATGCATTTGTTGTAGTTCTGCTGTTTGTATTTATCAGGATATCAAATCCTTTAGGCCTGCATAGATCACTGTAAGTTCAATTCTAAAATGAATCTGTGAGTATCGCCTCAGCTTTACAAGAACCAACTGCTTTTTAGGCAAAACCAAAGTCACGGATAAAAATGTCATGGGTAACTTCAGGCTTAAAACAACAATTTGATTTCTGTTTGATGCATATAACATGCGTGCATCTCTTTATGCAATCTGTAACAAGTTGACAAATAGTGTGGTCTGCTTATTGAATTTCATGCGATGCATGGGACCTGATCCACTTAAATACTATATCTCATTTATTAAAGTAATGGTCGATTTTTTACTTGATGATTTTGAACACAGCTGCTCGTTTGCGATTCAGAAGTTCAGAAAACAAAGCAGAGATTATAAGAGCGGTGGAGAAAAATGTGTGGCCGGCCATCGCTTCAGGGAAGGTGAAGCCTGTTGTCTATAAGTACTTCCCATTATCTGAAGCATCAGAAGCTCATCGACTCATGGAAGCCAGCAAGCACATTGGAAAGATATTGCTTCGACCATGAACTAATATTATTAATCCCTATATTTAAGAGGAGAAGGGTATGATGATCTGCATTAATGCCTTTATCCTGACCAATGTCATGGCCTGTTGTAGTAGCATGGTCGAGCCTGATTTGTGAACGAGTTGATTGACATGAAGGGTTAGCTGGTATGGATTGGGCTTTTCCATGCAAAAGCTCGTGAATCAAGGGGTCTATGGTGTATGGTGAATGAAACATTCTAGTTTACCACTTTCTGCATTAAGTGGTAACATGGTTCTCTCTGTTTTGTATCAAACTGCAAGAAGAAATGAACTTATTTTTCCTCTCTAAAGGCATATCTATAGTCTGCACTGTGAACAGCTCGACTGGGGAAATACGTGAGACTTTTCTCGCTGTGTCATATGTAGTGCTTATGACTTAATCTCTTCATGTTGCTCAAATATGGCATAAATAATATTGATATCTTTTGTACAATGCACTGGAATCTAGTTTATCCTTTCATTTGATAGGTGAGTTTCTGTAAGTAAACTTTTGGAACAAAATATTTCACCAAATGACTACATTAGTAGTTCTTTGTCCATTCAAGATCCTAATGACTAGATGTCTGTAGAGAAATATTTCAATTCAGAAAGGTTTAGAAGTCACTTACTTTAATGTTATCTGTGATATGAAAGCTGAACTCGTCATATTTTATTGGAAAACTTACTTTTGAATTTTGATTTAAGAAGTGATAATGGTGGACTATCTCCATTTTAAAAGTAAATCATTAAGGTATCATTTGCTTATTAAAAAAATATAATGGAATGAATTAAAAAAATTAAAGTAAAAAATGATATAATTAAAAGGGATATGTGAACACATTTTAAGGGAGAAAGAGTAATTTAGCTCAAGGGTTGAAAATTATAATTTATAAAATTTTTAAAGTGTGTGATAATTTTTATATTTATAGTATATATTAATAAATTTTATTATACTTATCATGGAAGAATGGTGATTTAGTTCATTTTTATTTTAATTTTTTAATTTAATTTATTTTATTTTTTAATAACTAAATATAGCCTAAATAATTGTATTATATTATTAAAGGAAGGCTGTTGGCATGACATGGGCAGGTTCAACGGCCCCTTGGAGTACTCCGTATTCAAACCACATTTTTTTTTATAAAAAAAAGTCCTTTAATATTTTAAAATGTTTGTTAGGCATAAATGTTTGTTTGGCATATATTGAGCTTATGGTCCCTACATGAACTAATCATTTTTTATTTCCCTTATCATCACGTCATCTACAACACGATAGTGTCTTTTTTTAATTTTGAACTGATTTCTTTTTCTTGAAAGTAACAATAATTTTTACCAAATATATATATATTTTGGCCAAAACAAAATATATTCACTAAGTCTAAAACTAGCGTGGGCATTGTTCTAAACAGATGTAAATGTTACAATTATAGAAAACTAAAAGCATAAAATATAATTAATTTTTATTAAATTGACTGCAAAATGAAATTTTGACATACAGGCTTTGTCAAAGTGAAACCAAATATTAAAAAAAAAAAGGTGAAAACCAAATATATTCTTACAAACCGTCTGATTATTAAAAAGAATTAAATTAAATGAATTAAAAAATGACAATAAAAATAAATTAAAATAAAAAAAATAAAATGATAAAATTAAAAGTAATTTAATTTATAAAGTTAAAAATTATGATTCATAAAATAAAAAAAAACTTATATCCTTAGTATTATATATTTAAGATATTTATTTTTAATTAAATCAATATATATATATATATCATTTATAAATTATTTATTTTATAATAAATTTTTAAAATTGATATTATTAATATATTAAAATCTTTCTACTTTGAATGGGCTGGGTAAAAGTTTTAGTCTTGCCATAAAATAAAAATTTTATACTTAGTTTTTATTTCCTTTAATCCATTGTCGTTCGGCAATCAAACTCCTTATTCCTTGTTCAGCTGAGGATCAGGGATACAGCCATACAGGCGGTGGCGCACCGCAATCAGCATTCACCAGGAAACGACACCGTATTGCTTCCCCCATGATGTGTTCAACTCTCAAGTATTCGATGGATACAAGTTAGTTCTGCTCTGCGAGGGGCTTCCCACTTGCCAGCGACAGAGACAAAGCTAATTCAGTTTCCGAAAATGAAGGCCATAGTGATAACTACTCCGGGAGGTCCAGAAGTGTTGAAGATTCAAGAAGTGGAAGACCCACAGATCAAAGACGACGAGGTACTCATCAGAATAGCTGCAACCGCGCTGAATCGAGCCGATACCCTCCAGAGGAAAGGTTCGTACCCTCCCCCCAAAGGTGCGAGCCCTTACCCAGGATTGGAGTGTTCTGGAACTATCGAAGCCGTCGGGAAAAATGTTTCCAGGTGGAAAATCGGCGACCAGGTACTCAACATCAATTCTTCCGAGTTTTGGGTTTGTGTTGTGGGGTAGTGATATATTTTTAATCTACGTTTCCGAGGAAATGATCGGAATGATATCAAGGGAACATTGCATTGCGGGTTCCTAGTTGTTGGGTGTCTTGAAAATGTGAAGTTCTTCTTTTGCGTCTTCTGATAACTTTACGTTTTCTGTGAATTATGGAACTTTCTTAGTTGGAAACAAGGAGCATATGCCTTTATATAGGAAGCTTTATTTATTTTCTATGCTCTAGCATGCTCAGGTCGTAGTTGAAAATTATTTTCTCTGATCCAAAATATAAGTATTTTTCCTTCCATTAAGCTTAGTTCAAAATATAAACAATCTAACACCTGTAAATTTTTTTTGTCCATTTTACCCCTTATATTTATTAACCCAAAATTTATGTCTAAATTTATATTTCACCAATCATGGAGTGGATTGGTAATTGGGATTAGGGATAAAAAGGAAAACAATATATATTTTGATGGAAATAAGTATTTATTGATATGTAGATTTTTCTTAAAAATTGCTTATATCTTGAACCGGAAGTGGTACTTCTTAAAGTCTCTGTACCGTACCTACTTGTTGCTATTGAACTATGACGCTTATTCAGTAAAACAATACGTCTGACCTCAGTGATAATTGAATTTATGAGCATTGAGATCGTTCATGTTCCTATGATCGGCATTAACCTCAAGGTTCTATTTTACTGTAGTGGTTGAAACCTGTTGGTCGTGTAGTAAGCGAATTAATTAAAATTTCATCAATATATATATATATATAAGATGTGGTTTATAGGTATGTGCTCTTCTTGGTGGAGGGGGATATGCTGAGAAAGTTGCCGTTCCTGCTGGACAAATTCTTCCCGTTCCACCTGCAGTTTCTCTGAAGGATGCAGCTGCTTTTCCTGAGGTTGCATGTACTGTGTGGTCTACTGTTTTTATGATGAGCCGACTATCCAAAGGAGAAACATTCTTGGTAAATTTTGAGTCTAATAATTTATCTATGAAGAATCAGGTTATTTTTTTTAAGTTAATGTTGAATACCTGTATTGTTTTGAACCAATTAAGTGCATGTAGCGTATCTTGTGACTGTCAATTTAAAGGAAGCCGTGTAGGCACTGGTACTTTTTTGCATTCTTCTGTTTAATCAACTCTTGTTTGGGTTGATAGGATGCATAGAACTTAGCAACTCGATGCTATATTGACCTTAACCTTTGTTTAGGGAATTCAAAACATGATTGAATTAGTTTTGAGAATCACAATGATATACTCTCTGGGGTCCTAAATATAGGGCACTTCTAGCTACTTTACTAAAACCAAAGAGAGATAATTAAATCATTAAGATGGTCTAAAAATGAACCATATTTACCCTATTTAAAAGCATAATTTTTTTTTTTAAAACTTGGGTAGTTGTAACTACAGGTGGTTTTGGGGGGAAAAAAAACTAATTAATGGTTTGCCTTTTTGTGCACAGCGACTAATATAAAGGACCGGAGAGAGTAAATAAAATATTGGATAACATCCATTCATAACTTGAAATGGCCTGATTTTTTTCCTTTGGTGGTGCTGTATGACCTTCCTGGAGTCTCTAGTTGTGACTTGATGATAGTTTATGTTAACTTGAATCCATCAATTCTCAGGTACACGGGGGCTCTAGTGGAATTGGTACATTTGCCATTCAGATAGCTAAATATCATGGAGTAAGAGTATTTGTCACAGCAGGTTCAGTAGTTTTTATACAACTTTGTCTTGGAAATTAACTGTGCTCAATAGGTCCAATAAACTGGCCTATTTTGTGGAGCTAACCATGCACCTCTTTGATTGAAATTTCTGAGTAGTGTTTGGCAAGCACTCATCTTTTTGGATATGGATTTGCAGGCAGCGAAGAGAAATTAGCTTTCTGCAAGGATCTTGGTGCTGATGTATGCATCAATTACAAAACAGAGGACTTTGTTGTGAGGGTAAAGGAAGAAACAGGTGGTCAAGGTATCATCTCTAGCATGAACACTTGAGTAGAGATAATCAATATGTGAAGTACCTATTGATGTATGATTACTCTAATGTTTGCATGAATCATGAAGAAACATTGTGTAATTGATGTACAGGTGTCAATGTTATTCTTGATTGTATGGGAGCATCCTATTATAGCCAGAACCTCGAGAGCTTGAGCTTTGATGGGAGGCTATTTATTATTGGCTTTCAGGGGGGTACATCCACTGAAGTAAATCTTGCCTCTGTGTTTGCTAAGCGTCTTACAGTTCAAGGTATTGCTCCAATTAAGGTTTATTTCTTTCTTTGGTTATTTTCAAGGTTCACTTCATAATACAGGTTCTTTCTTTGCTATTTAGTTGGGTTCAAGATTACTTTCCTTCAATCCATATCATTGCCTGTTGAAGTACATAGAAGTAACACCAATAGCTGATATAGCTAACTTGCTCAACTGCAAAAATGATAATGATAATTTAACTTCAGCGTACATCTTTACAACCGAGAGATATATTCTTTGTGAGGGAACCAGACTAATGTGGGTGATTTAATTCATTCATGGCCGTAACTTAAATCCCTTACATTTGTTCTCTTATTTCACTATGCTTCTTTTGCTTTATAAACCATGCACTCTGTCTGAGTTTACAGATAAACCCAGGTTATATCTCATGGTCAATTTCTATGCAGGTGCTGGCTTGCGAAGCAGAAGCCTTGAAAATAAAGCTGTGATTGTGAGCGAGGTGGAGAAGAATGTGTGGCCAGCAATTGCAGCAGGCAGGGTAAAGCCTGTGGTGTACAAGTCATTTCCTCTATCTGAAGCGGCAGAGGCTCATCAGCTAATGGAGAGCAGCAAACATATTGGGAAGATTCTGCTTTTTCCGTGAACCTAACCCAAGTGCTTTGACATTGTGACAGACCTTTAGAATTTGGACTTCTTTCTGTGTCTGTGGCCGAGGAGACTAGTGCTGTGCACTTAAGTTGTCGTGATGCTCATGGATGCTGCAAGGTTGTTTCTTAAAAATAAAGTACCCATAATGAATTTATTCTGTATGATACAGCAAATATAGCTGCTATATCCATGAAATAGATTCTCTCTGAGATGGTTTATGTTGAGAAGTTGATGGAGTTGTGTATATTTTAGAAAGAATGGAGTGATGTTACTGATTAAAAAATAAAAATGAAAAAAAATTATCTCATATCAATGATTCAAGAACTCCAAAGACGGAGAAATTCAGAGGATATTTTTATCTATATTTAGTTTCCCGTTTTCTTCATAACCAACATTACTCTTGAATGCACAATTGTTTACGAACTATGCAGTCAAGACATCTGTTCAACCCCCCCCCCCACCCCTAGGGGGCCAAAAAGAACGCTTGCAAGTTTGAACCTCATAAAGGTAACAAATTATGCTTGGAAAGATCAATATCAGTTTTGAAGTGAAGGCAACAAAATTACTAAAATCACTCATGATCATCAGGTCTACTTATCTGTCACTCGTACTTGTCAATCTAATTTCTACAAAGTAAGGTTGCAGGATATCTTTTGAGTTAGGTTGATCCCACGCCAATGAGTTCCACCATGTTCTGGTTGCTTTGATTTCTTCAAGAGCAGGTGTTGTTGACAGATCAAGAGGAAGCCTCTTCAGAGCTTCACAGGATGCTACTTCAAGACTTCTTAAAGAAGGGCAAAAAATGGTTCCATCATATATACTCTCCAAAAGGGGCATGAACTTCAGTTTCATCCTCTTCAACTTTGGAAACTCAATTCTGGAACCATTACCTCCCATGAAATCTCTCTCTTCTCCTTTCATTATGTACTCCATACCAGTACAACTGCGGACACTAATTTCTTCCAGATTCCTCAGTTGAAGCAAAAGCTGCCCTGAGAATAGAGTCTTCAGTTTTGGACAATATTCCACAGTAATGATCTTCAAGCTTGTAAGAGTGCCAGGTCTCACTTCATCCCTACATATCATCTTCAAGTTTCCCAGAACTAAAAGTTCCATCCTTTCTAACATGGATAAAGTGTTTTCCTCTTCCTCTGAGTCAATTATTCCTTCAATGTTATCACACCACCTGATTTTACAGGATTTCAGCTGTGCCACATTCACTAAGCACATGCTTAGATGCTTGATATCAGCAGAGTCATCCAAATGCAGCTCCAAGGTGTTTGGTGGTAGAGAAACTGGGTTTCCTCTTAGAACAAATCTTCCACTAAAGGCCAAGCTTCTCTCTTCATAAAACTGTGCTTGAGGCTGCCCAACCGTTATCCTGAACTTATCCAGCTGAACCCAGTGAACAGATTTGGCATATTGATCAAACACATCTGCATTCCACAAGTCTAGTTCAAGGGAAGATAGATTTAAGGAAATGACTTCTTCAATGGTAGCTCCACCGCTAATGGCTTTGACTGTCATTGATCCCCACAAGATACCACAACCACCTATCAGTAAGTCTTCCAAAAGTGTGAATTTGGATATCAATCCAAATGGGAAGATTTCAATTCCTGTCTTGGAAATATTCAAGCGTCTCAAGTTTCCCAAATTTTGCATCCCATTTGGAAGTTCTTTCATTCTTGGAGAGCAAGAGAGATCAAGGACCATCAGCTTGTTCAGTTTTGCTAAAGAAGGAACTGTTGATAAATTCCAGCAGTTGCTCAATAACAAAGCAGATAAGTTGTCTAAATTAGATACTGAATTAGGCAAGAAATCAATCCCAGTGTAGGAGAGGTCCAGAACTTTCAGAAATTGCATATTTTCAAAGAATTCATGGGATATATTTTCAGAAAATGAGTTGAATTGAAACAATAAGGAAGTAAGTCTAGGGAACATGAGGTTGTAATTGAAGGGAATACATTTCAAGTCATTTCTCATCAGCGAGACCCTTTGAACATCTTCTGTCCATTCCTCCATCCATTGATGTTTTGTCATTCTAGTTCCAGCTTTACTTATGCAGTGAGGGTTCGTTCTCATGATTGTAATGGCCATGTCTCTTATCAAATCATGCATTCTGACGAATTCCACTGCATTTTGAGTCACACCCTCTAACAAGCATGCATGTTTTAATTCATTCAATATGATTTTTCCCCTCCTCTTGATTGCAGAGATTCCTCCAACATAACCCAATAAACCTTCCCACATCCAATACTCCATCAGCTCATTGGTATCAATCTGATGGCTTTCAGGATATAAAGCACAAAAGAGGAAACAAGATCTGCTTGTATCATCCTTTAGCTTGGCATAGCTAAATCTCAAGTGTGCAAACACTGTTTCTTCCATCCTTTCAATATTTGCTGTTGAGGCTCTTAACTCAGCTAATGCACACTCCCACTCTGATACATCAGCAGCATTTCTCAAGGCTCGTCCTACTGTAACAATGGCAAGAGGCAAACCTCCACACTCTTTTGTCACTTCCTTTGCAATCATCTCTACTTCTGGAGAATTTGACACTACCATTCCAACTTTATACCTTAAGAGATCCCATGCCTCATCATCTTGAAGGGCCTTCACTTCTACATCCTCATCTGTCTCCATACCCCGACAAACACTCAACAACCGCGTAGTGATCACCAACTTGCAGCCATTCTCAACTGTTGGTATCGGTATTCCAGCTGTTTCAAGAGAGAATGGCTCCCATAAATCGTCCAGAATCAGTGTGTATCTCCTCCTTCTGTTTAGAGCCTCAAATAGCTTGGCTGCTCTAGTAACATCATCATCTATCATTGAAAGATCTAATTCCAACTTCTCTCCAATACCCTTCTGTAGTTTCACTAGGCTTGGCTCTTTTGGTGCAGAAACCCATATGACAAGATCAAAATCCCTCCCTTCTAACAGACGATTGTTGATTTCTGTCATGATAGTTGTCTTGCCTACTCCTCCCATTCCATAAACTCCAATCCTTTTCGCACTCTCTTGTGATAAGCATTCCAATATCCTCATTAAACTTTGCATGGTTGTGGCACACTCCATCAATGGTGATGCAGGAAGAGTGTACCCTACCTTGGGCAAGTTTTCAGCCACCACTGATTCATCCAAGAACTGACCCTTGTCAAGAAGCTCTTGGACCTCACTGATCTTCTCTTCCACTACTCCTCCGAATTTTATTCGTGAACAAAGAAAGTTGAAGGAACATCCATTGTTATTCTCCGTGAGGCTGCTCACTTGGATTCTAACTCGATCAACACTTTTCATCCACAGCTTCACCTCTTCTCTTGGGTTCATCCCTTTTTCCAGCCACATTTGATTGAGTTTAGTGTTCACATCTGATCTGCGAGCATCTAGCTGTTCCACTAACTCTTTTAGCTTGTTCAAATTCTTTTTTGGTTTTCTCAGATGCTTACACTGTCTTTCAAGTGATTGTTGCAGTGAGTTCCGAGAGCACAAGCAGCTCAGGATGCTTACCATAGATCCAACGACGTCCATGGTCAGTTGCAGACAATTCAAGAAACAAGAAACAAGAAACCATAGGACCAGTGTATAGCAAGAGTTAAGTAATCATGTTTGTGTTAAATCATCTCCTAGATTTTGGAAAGATCAATAAGAGTACGAGATGAACAAAAGAGTCAGAACTCAGAAAGTTCAGCCTTAAACATGCTTGAGAAACAGATGATGAAGAAAATTGCAAAACGATTGCAGGAAATGGGTTGAATTTATCACTGGGAAGATATTCTTCGATTCTGAAAAGTTCTGCTAGCTTTGTTTATCCAGTTATCTAGGTGAGCCCAGTTGTCCAAACAGACTTTTCTAATCGTTGACTTCCAATTACAGCTTATACCCACCGTAAAAAATATAAAAGGAGGCAATAGAAAGTTTGTACAAGTTTTGAATATAGAGAAACTTTCATCATTTAAAAATAGAAATCATTTATATAATTTCAGTAAAATATTAACACTTAATGTTTCCAAAAAAAAAAATCAATTTTTAGGAAAAATACTAAATTTATACGAAGAATCTTTTTTTTTTTTGGCTAGATTATATGAAGAGTCAAATAGCTTGGAACATTTTAAAGACATAAAAATTTGGTGGAGCGGGGCATGCAACCTAAAGAAATTAAACTAACTTTTGGCTACTTTCGATAAATTGATTATTTATTATGATTTTATATAAAATTGCAAACAGTTATTATAAAATTGCTGTATTTGAACTATCTGTACTTTCTGTTGATATTTTTTCCATACGTAATCTATTATATTTATTTGATTATTTATTTAGTTTAATGATATAAAATTGCTAATTGTATCATCAAACTATATATATTATTTATTTAATTACTATTATAAAAAGTATTATGATCTTATTTTTAACAGTATTTAAATCATAATAACAATGATAATAAATATATAATCATTAAATTAAACAGACGGATGTGATTATGGGGGGAAAAATGGATTGGGAAAAAAGTATGGAATGGATCCACCTTTCTGGCTTAAACAATCAAAATTGCGATGGACATGTGGAAGAAAGCACTGTTGGTGAATAATAAACATTACGCTTAAATTATAAATAAATATTTAATAAATAAATTGATTTTTACCTGATTTTGTTAAAATACTCACCCCGGAAGCAATTATTTTCTTATTAAAAAATGCAAAAGTATCGACCAAAAAGGCAAAAACATACATAGCCCTTGGGTGCGTCATACTGAAGAGCACAGAGCACTGTGAAAGTTGTTCGATCAGCAGGGTCAGACTTCAGAGGGTGAGTTCGCTCAACTTGCTTTTGAATCGCCTTCATTGTTTCATAGATCATGCTGGTTTATCTTTCTTCTGAAATTGAAAATCGTTTCTTCTTCTTTTCATAGATCAGCACTGTCCGACTCATTTGTGATGTTTAACTGAAACTCGATAAAATTAATTTATACGAAGAATTAACCTAACATATGAGTTATTAAGTTAATGATTTCAAAATTGAAAGCAAATTGTAAAACCTGTGTTGATACTCAAAGCCAATTCCAATATCGTGTCCCCCTCTATTTATTTTTTCCGATTCTGTCATATCATGCATTATCCTCCTTCAGTCTCTGAGATGAAAAGGGCCAATTTTTCCCCAGACGATATCAATTCTCTCAAGTAACAGCAGTGCTGGCACAAACTTATTTTCTACTTTGTTATTTTTGAAGCTCTGCATAGCTGAATTTTATAAGATTGGGTGAATATGAGGAACTCCGGTAGTTGAATATATTCTATTACATAAATCTCATAAGGAGATAGTATCCGCCTTAAATGTGTTTTTCTATTTAAGATGTAAGCTACCAGATTTGAAACTAGAGCAGCTTCCGGGCCTCTTAAGGACATGGTCTGTGAGACTTTCTAAATATTTTAGAACTCATGCAATAAATTGAACTTTGCAATTGATCTTTTGCAGATTCTATCATCCCATTTCATCTTTTATCCAAGCAATGGATCTAAGTTCGTTGAGTCCTGAACAACTAACTGTGATGGGGTCTGCATTTTGTGTAATGGCTTCCATGCATTTCACAGTGCAGTTATTATCACAACATCTCTTCTACTGGAAGAACCCTAAGGAACAAAAAGCCATCATCATTATTATCCTAATGGCTCCCATATATGCCGTTGACTCATTTGTAGGCCTATTGGATGTCCAGGGAAGCAAAGCATTTTTTTTGTTTTTGGACTCAGTCAAGGAATGCTATGAAGCTTTGGTGAGCACCATTTCCTGATTAAAATATATGGCTTTGTGAATTTCAGAAATGCTACTGTTGTTGGCTTATCAGAACACTTTATGTGGTTTTTTCATCAGGTGATTGCTAAATTTATGGCTCTGATGTATAGTTACTTGAACATATCGATGAGCAGAAATATTGTGCCTGATGAAATTAAGGGGAGGGAAATTCACCACTCATTCCCAATGACACTTTTTCAGGTACATTTTGTATTTATGCACATATAGTTGTGAATTTTTTGAACAAGAAAAAATCATTGTGTTATGATGTGAATCTTCTTTTTTTTTTTTTTTGAATTTTTTATTACAGGTGAGTACCCTTCATCCATTGATGCATTTACATAGAATATTTACTTAAATTTATGCATTATTGACACTTAAATCATGAAGCTGTATATCAATGCTAGTACCTTTTTATGATGAAAAGCATTTTCAATCCATCAGAGTTCTGTGTAGTAGAAATATATCGTTTCTGTGTAATAATTAATAACTGATGTCATAGAATTTACTATATAATATTGACTTTCTGCAGCCTCGCACTGTTCGGCTGAACCACAACACTCTGAAGCTTCTAAAATATTGGACATGGCAGTTTGTAGTCATCCGCCCAGTTTGTTCCATTTTGATGATAACATTGCAATTACTTGGGTTGTATCCAAGCTGGTTGAGTTGGACATTTACCATCATTCTCAACATTTCTGTTTCATTGGCCTTGTATTCTCTTGTTATCTTTTACCATGTGTTTGCGAAGGAACTGAAGCCACACAAGCCACTAGCAAAATTCATGTGCATCAAAGGAATTGTTTTCTTTAGCTTTTGGCAGGTAATTTGTTATCCTTTATTTTTTACATGCAAACTGAGTTCAAAAATCACCTAGAGATGTGAAGAAGGTGTGCGTGTCTGTGTGTGATTGAATGAGAGATCAGACTTGTAGACATGGTGCTACAGAAAAGAAAAACCAAAAGGACCATCCCCTTTCAGTGGACTTCGGTTATAATGAGTGGCGGGAATGTTACCTGCATGAAGACTAGTATGTGACTGTAGCTTTAACTGTTTATATATTTTATTATGTCTGTTATTAGTGGAGTTTAGTGACTTTATTTTATATTTGAGCCACAAATACAATGTTTCATGTAGATCAGTATCCGCTAGCTACATTTCCCACACTCATCTTGCTTTATTCCTAGTGGAGAAAGAAACTCTGTTAACTAATGAAAAAGCAAGCTTACTGAATGTGACAATTTTGGCTCCACATTGTATTTTCTATCAACACTACCGCTTAACAATATGCATTGTGCAGTTCAGCAGTTGGGTCTCTTTTAGATGTGAATCTGTTATTGTTGACATGGCTATATTTTTACTGTATGTCGCAACTTTGATCATGGGGAGATGACATGACATAAATGTTTGCCGTATTTCAGATTCTAGTTCACCAATATGGGTGTCTCCTGTTTTTTTTTTTTTGCTTTGATCGCTTTACCTTCTTTCTAGCACTTCTTCAGCATCATAGCAACTTTCCTTTTGCTGTTTACAATGAAATCATTGTGGGTTAATATGGAATCACCATCATTTTGGCTGTGTTTAACATTTGATTACGACCTCTGACCATACGCAGGGAGTGGTGCTGGAGATTTTGGTGGCACTGGGTGTCATTCGATCTCATCATTTCTGGTTAGATGTGGAGCACCTTGAAGAGGCCATTCAGAATGTGTTGATATGTTTAGAGATGGTTGTGTTCTCTGTTCTTCAGCAGTATGCGTATCATGTTTCACCATACAGTGGAGAAGTAGAATCGACTTATAAACTAAAGAAAAACGAATGATAAAGTATGGTTAAAGAAAAATAGCAGAGCTCTGAGAATACAACAACAAAACAGCCTTGTCCTTCTAAGCGAAGTAGAGCTATGAGCATAGTGATGAAAAGTGCATGTGTTCTTTCCGCATTTTTACTTGGGGACCTCATCTATACGGAGCTGTTTGCTCCTTTTTTTTTTTTTTTTTTTGTGGGTAATATGAGCTGTTTGTTCTTTCCCATATGGATCAGAGGGATTTTTGGATGAAATATGGTGGTGGTTTTAAGCTGTATCAATTATGAATTTAAGATATGATGTGCCAGATTATAATTATTTTTTTAAAAAGCTAGGATGTAGATAAGTTGGTGTTCATGACATTGAAAGCATCAATATTTGAATATTGAAATTAGCTATTTTTCGTGGTGGTGAATGGAATTAATCAAATATCTTTAGGTAGCTGTTAGGATATCGATATATTATTAATATGATGTAACGTGTCTTGGCATTCTACAACACTCTACATTTAGCAGCCTCATGCAGTTATACTTCCATTTTTATTTATAAAAAAAAATTATATCAGTTTAAAAAATTAGTTAATTATATTAATTATATTTAAAAATAAAAAAATTGGACTAAAGTATTTTTCAATAATTGTTTTAATCAAGTCTTCATCAATTATTTTTTATGATTGAGGATGGTAAAATTATGAAGGATAATTTAAAAAATTTGTAATAAATGTTTGTTGTAAAATGTAATTTTGTTTATATAAAAAAAATTAAAAGTGATAATTTCTCTTGTAAATAAAAGCAGAGGGAGTATTGCACGGCTGAAGCTTCTAAGAAGGAACTGACTGATTTTCCACAAGCAACCTCGCTATTCTTTGCTGCACCATTCTTTCCACCCCCAGGTTAATCTAGCACATTTAACACCCAAGGGCAGTATTCAAGACGGTTTGGAATGAAAAGAAAATAAAGAGGTGAGAAAAATAGGGGAAAACTCACCATTTTTGCTTCTAATTTCCCCTTGGAGGGAAAAAAATTAAAGGAAAAAATTTATGTTAGAGAAGAAAAATGTTCTTTTTTCTTTCTTTTCTCTCCTAGTATTCTCCCTTCCCTAATCGAGGTCGAAAGATTCAGCCATCATTTAACATATGGGGCATAGAAGCACATCCCCTCATGAAGACTCTCTTGTTTACCGCTAAAGAACTGGCACAAAACCTCCATACAGGATGTTCTTTCACCCTCGGAGGCACCATAAATTGCCAAACACCATCAGTTTGACCCCTAGACCAGTTTGTTTGGTCTAATTCTTTCCAACAATGGATATTGTTGTTGTTACTTCATTTTTTTCGTGAGCACGTTAGTTTGATTGTCTTTACATTTTAAGTCCATCTTATTCATGTTCAACTTGACCAAAAACCCCAATGTACAACCACCGGCATGAAGATTAATAAAAAGATAAAATAGTAATTACAAAACTTCAATCAATTATAATTCTATATCCGGACCCAAACAAAAAACTTCTTACTTTACATGACAGAATAATTTAAAGTTTTTCGGAGCATGACTTGATATATAACTTGATATATTTTTTACCTTTAATGTAGGGATAAAAGTTATATCGTTTAATTTTTATCTAACCACACCATAGATGTTGAATCTTTTATTATTGATAAACAATTTCATATATAAATTATGTTTTGAAAATAATATGGGGCTCACAGAGAAGGCAAAAGACAACTGATGCACAAAACTGTACAAGTACGGTTCATTCTAGTTTCTACAATGTAAAAATATTATACTGATATAAATGATTTTACTGATTCAATAAATACAATGAAAGCACAATTGCTTGTAAACTAGTTTTGAATAACATTATTAAAGGGTAAAAAAAATTATTGATCACAATGCACCAATTTTCCCCCCTTTTGGCACAATCCTTGTTCACTAACTGAATTAACTAACTTGCCAAAACTAAACCGCAAAGGCATTTTCCCCAGTACCCTGTGAAACTCTCCGATACACCTTCCTCTTCTCTTTCTATGTTCACCTCTTCTGCTACTCAATCCCACATCTTTCACTCCCTTCTCCTTCTCCTTCTCCTTCTTCTCTCCAACACCTTCATCATTCCTTGCATCCCCATAATCTCTAATCCTCTCTGCCCCCACCAATATGGGCCCCACATTCGTCCGATCGGCCACCACGAAGTTCATCAAGATATCCTCACAGTTACGCATCTCATCAACCGTCCTCCTCATCTCCGCCATTGGAGCCCCACCTTCGCAGCTGTAACTGTACAGATACTCGGTTCTCAGTATCATGAACTTTGTCAGTATGATCGAGTACTTGTCCGGGTGTACTGTGTAGATCCACTCTTTCCTCGACAGATCCAGATCGTGTGATCTGGCGAACAGTCCGACGAGACGGTTGGGGTTGGATGCCCAGACGCGGAAGGCAAACTCGAATGACTTGTGATCCACCAATACGTCGTCGTCGCAGATTAGGACGGCGTGGGTCCCGATGGAAGATCGAGGGAGGAATCGAGCGTTGAGGGAGCTAGATGGCTGGTGGATTAGGGAGATTGAAGCTGATCCGAGGGAGGAGATTGAGAGATTGTTGGCCAGGTGGGTTAGAATGTGGTCTGGGGTTGAGGGGTTTCCCCAGAGGACTAGCACGGAGGATACCAGCGGCGATGCAGAGTATGTGGCTGAAATTGATTGGAGAAGAGGAATGCGGGACTCGGAGTAGCCGTTGATTAGGACCGTGATCTGATCGGACCGCAGGGTCCGTGGATCCCGCTTCGTTCTGGGGTCACACAAGTCCGTTGGGTTTGTCCGACCCGAATGCACAAGCAGCGGAGCGAGATCAAATAAGAAGACGACCACAATCACGGATATTGCCCGCGAATTCATCATGCCGGAGATATATAGGGGGGTCAAGATGGAGGGTCTGCAAATTTATGAAGGTATGCAATTATCTTAGCCCACCTTCGACGCATGATCAGTTAATGGAATAGCAAGTTTGGTATCAACGCATGATCGAAGTGCTATGTCATATTGGAAATGGAAATGGCAGCCGCGTTATTCTACAGAAAATTGAGGTTAAAGTTTTCATTAATTATAAAATAATAAGGTGATGAGGAAGAGTAGAAATGTTAATATAATTAATGTGCAGCGGATTTTGGATATAATATGTGCAGTGGCCTGTGGGAATGATAAATCTGTAGTCTTATCTGTAGTCTAGGACTACAGATTTAACTATTTAGGTATTGTATAATACTGTAAGTCTGTAATTAGTAGAATTTATAATGACTGTCTTTTGCTTTCTCAGCTATAAATACAATTTTTCATGTGGATCAGTGCACACTAACTGCATTTCCCAATTCCCACGTGTATGTTTCTTTATTCATAGTGGAGGTAGAAACTCTACTGAGTAATGTATAAGCAAAGCAAACCAACTATATGCATTGTGCAGTTGGGTCTCTTTCAGATGAGAATCTGTAATTGTTGGCATGGTTGTCTTTTCATTTTTTATGTTGATGTGTCACTGCTTTAATCATAGGAGATGAGAGGGCTTTAAGTTCACTGTATGTATTTCAGCTCTCAATTCAGCAATATCGGTGTCTCGCATTCTTACCTTTCAATTCATTTCTGGTTAGAGACGGTTGTCTTTTCTATTTTTAGCAGTATGCATATCATGTTTCACAGTACAGTGGGGAAGTAGAATCGACTTCTAATCAGAAACTACTATAGAGAAACGAATGATACGGTGCGATCCAACAAAAATAGCATAGCTCTGAGAATAGCTAGTGATGAAAAGTGAATGTGTTCTCTCTGTATTTTTTTTTTTTTAATTAATGAAAAGCAGACATTAATGGTATAAAGTTAAAAGCGAGATTAAACCCGCGAATTCGTGTGAGCTTGCATATGCTATTAGGTTACAAGATTAACGTTCTTTCTGTATTTTTACTATGTCAGTTTTTCATCTTTTAGGAGCTGTTCGCTATTTACCATGTGGTATCAAAGAAATGCTTTAGATTAAAATATTTTCATGGTTTAAACACTGATACAATGGATAGCAATGGAAGTTTACTCCATCCGCAGATTCTTTCGATGATTAATTTCAAATGGGAGGTGCCGATCGTACAGGTACCAAGGGAGCTAAATTGTGTAGCTGTTGTGTTGGCTAAGGAGGGACTCCAGTCTTCTTTATTGGATGCAGTTAAGGGACCTTGTGGACAGAGAGTGTTTGGGATCTCAATCCCCTCCCCTCCATTTTAATTTTGGGCTTAGCCTTCTCTCGTATAAAAATAAATAAAATATTTTCATGGTTTGCGCAGCGTGAGTTTGTGAATTTAAGATAGTACATATTATGCATAAAAGATTACACTCATTTCTTTTACATAGGGAAAGAAAGTTAGCATTTAGATAAGTAGGTGTTCATGACTCAAATCAGGATGAGTCTACAAAAAAGATGCACTAAATCTTCTGGGAAACGGTGAAGAAACCAAAGAATGTGGATGGTTTGGGAATAAAAGACTTCATCAACAAAATCATTTTGGGGGTATTGTAACTAAGAAGGAGGCGCTTTGGGTAAAATGTTTAAGGCAGAAGCATGGCTGTGGTGTAGAAGAGTGGCCAATTGTCAGTAAGAAACGATGTTCATCTATGACATGGCAAACTATTACCACCGTCGGGAAAAATTCTCTAAGGGTGTGGGGAAAAAACTCGCAAGTGGTAGAAATACCAAGTTTTGGCCTTGGAACTCCATCTGTCGCACTATGAGGATAGAATTAGGAATAAATGTACATTTTTAGCCTTAAAGTATTCTCTACGCAATGTTTAGCACCTTAAACTATTTGATATGACATTTTTTCTTTTAATGTAATTAAAACATAACACTTTTTACCCTAACATTAAATAATAGTGGACGTTTGTGAGTATTTAATAGCAAGGTGGAGAATAGTTTAAAAATAAAAATTTACCTTTACCCTACAATTAACTACAAAATTAGCCCATCTGAAGTGGTGGATAGACACATATTGCCGAATGGTGAATGGAACTTTCAATCTCGGCAACATATCTTACCTCAATGGGTCATTAACTCTCTACTTCAGATCCAACCTCTTAATGGTTATGGGAATTACAAATTCTAGTGGAGGCAAGCTTGTGTTGTGACGGCAGATTCAGCATTAAGACTGCTTAACGGCCACTTCCAGAAAAAGTTGAATTTTTCAATGTGGTAGGTCTTTCATGAGAGACTCTTAACCAATATACTCAGGGCTAGATCTGGGTTCGCAAATAATGCAAATTATCCTTTTGGCCTGATGATGAAAAGCTCTGAGAAACAACTTATGATGTTGTGTTTATATATTGCTTGAGAAATGACCTATCGATGGTGTGTTTATATTATAACCAAATGTAAGTCGTCTATTGTATTGAATTTGGGATAAGTGATTTTGTCATGAATAATAAATAATGCCAGTTTTTCTCATAAAATGAATAAATAATTACTCTGGACCACAATATAACTTATTTTTCAGACGCACTTATTGATCCAAAATATAAAATATTGGATAAATTTTATATATTTGTCCCCATTTATACCCTTGCTTTTCTTAATTTTTATTGCTCTATATTTAAAGAATATGCACGTATTAATAAGAAAATTCAATGTGTACATTTTTAGAAAATAAAATTTCAACTAATTTTTTTTATAAACAGTAAGTTTGTTAACAATGACAAATATTATAGATGGAGAGTAATGTCACTTTCTATATTTGTTTATGTGTATTTAGGGGTGTTGAAAACTAATCCAAACCGAACGGACCAAACCAAACTGATCCGAACTAAAATGAACCGATCAAAACCGATCATTAATCAAGTCTGCTTTGGTTTTTATGACACATAAACCAATTGGTTCGGTTTGGTTTCAGTTTTGGGATATGAAAACCGAACCAAACTTGAACCAAGTTTGATTAAAAGTAATATTTATTTATATAATATGTATCTAATTAAATATATAAGTTCTTTTTTTAGATAATAGGTAATTGATATAATTTAAGCGGATATTATGATATTGAGAGATGGATATTGGATATTGTGTTTTGAATATATATATTTATGGAACTATTGGTGTAAGTATTAATATTAAATAGTGTGATATTTGAAATTTTAGATATTTAGCCTTTAGATATTTGTATGTTTGCTACTTGCTATTAGATGATGAATTTTCTCTATAAAGATTCAAATAATGTATTTAATATAATTATGAAGATGATTAGTTGATCATCATTATTTTAATTTTTGTTGCTTGCAATCATAAAATTAATTTACATTTTATATATATATATATATATATATTGGACGATAGAAGAAGATTGATGAGATTATGAAGATATAGTACATTCAAGGTCAATGAAATGAAGAGATGAATAAAATTAATATGATGTAAACATATTTTTTTTATCTTTGATACATTTGAGGCCAAGCAAAAAAGAAAAAGAAAAAGATGAACATGTATGCATATAATATGTAATTAATCAAAGTTCAAAAACTTTCTAATTTCCATAAATATATTATGATTGTGGTTGAAATAAAGCACAAGATAAGTAAGAACCTTCCATACAATAAAAGAGCTAATAATGTATAAATCAATTCAAAATAAAAAAAGTCCAACTATTATAAAGACAGGAAAAAAGAAAAAAATAAATTTATTAAAGCTTGATTCAAACTTTAACCAAACCAAACTGATTTCAGTTGAAACCGATCAAATTTCACTAATGCTCAAACCGATTGGTTCGGTTCGGTCTGGTTTTTATCCAAAACCAAACCAAACCGAACTTATAAACATCCCTATGTGTATTGATCATGATATTGATGAGAACCTTACTCTTGGGTGGGTTTAGCTTATTTATAAAAGTTACGTACGGCTTATCTCTGTTATTTTATTCAAAGAGAGAGGCTAAAAAATGACAAATATATATATAGAGAGAGAGGGAGATATATATATATATATAGGTTTGGATATTGGGCTGGCCGATTGTCTATTGGGCTGTGTTTAAGCATCCTTTAGGATTAAGTATCAGGAATATTGTGGCACCCCGCTTAAAATAAAAATTTCCAATGGTGAAAAGGTAAAAGTGTTACTTATGCTGGTAGTATGAAACTTTTTGATAACATTGTCTCGAATAACGTTTTATATGCTCCCGGAACATGTTATGACTTAATATCCATTTCACATCTAACAAAAGATCATCAATGTTCTGTAGCATTTTTTTTCCTGATGCTTCTATATTGCAGGACCTCTTCAGTGGCAGAACCAAAATGATTGATAAATTAGAATATGCTCTATACTTGATAGATGAAAGCCTTACTTCATCATCTAATGTTCATGCTAGTAATCTTGTTTCTAATGACCATATTTGGCATTTAAGATTAGGATACCTATCTGATTTTATTCTTAAACATGTAATTCCTCTACAAAACAAATTGTCTTTTGTTAACTCTTCTAGTTGTAATATTTGTTTTAAAGCAAAACAGATATGTTTATCCTTTCCTTCTAATCATATAAGAACTATTTCCTATTTTGATTTACTTTATGTTGATGTTTGGGGTCCATATAAGGATCCCACTCATTAAGGTTGTAAATTCTTTCTTACTATAGTTGATGATTTTTCTTGAATTACTTGGATTTACTTGCTGCGTAATAAACATGAAACTTTTTACCATCTAAAATAATTTTTTTGCTTCATAACAAATCAATTTGGTTTAAGGTTAAGCACATCCATAGTAATAACCCACAACAAAATGAGGTTGTAAAAAGAAAAATAGGCATATCCTGGAGGTTTTTGGTGGCTTAATTTTTCAAGCTAATTTGCCAATTAAATTCTAGGGCAAAGCTGTTAAGGCATAATTCATTTGATTAATAGGATTCCATCTAAAATTTTGAACTATAGATTCTCATATGAAATATTATACAAGAAGCAACTTGATTTGTCCAACCTCAAGGTGTTTGGGTGTTTAGCATATGCTAAGGTTTCAAGGAAACTAGATGAATTTAAAGCTAGGTTTGTGGAATG